CCGGCGATCCTTCCGCCTCAGCCTTCCAAGTAGCTGGAACTACAGGTACGCGCTACCATGCCCGGCTTATTTATTTATTTATCTATTGTAGAGATGAGGTCTCGCCAAGTTGCCCAGGCAGGTCTTGAACCCGCGGACTCAGGCAATCCACTCTCCTCAGCCTCCCAAGGCACTGGATTACAGGCTGAGCCACCAAGTCAGGCTTGGGAGTGTCTGTTTTTAAAAGGTGTGCAGAGGAAAGATTTACTGCAGAGTCAAGGCCACTTTTAGGTTTAGAACCAGGTTCTTACTATCTAAAAATACTGACTGATAATAAAATATGTTCCAAATGTGACTATTGTGATCCAAAGTTGTTGGTATTGTTGTTTTTTATAAAATACATAACAGTTTTAGTTAGTTTCTTTTTGGCTGGGTGCGGTGGCTCATACCTGTAATTCCAGCACTTTGGGAGGAAGAGGTGAGAGGACTGCCGGAGCCCATGGGTTCAAAACCAGCCTGGGCAACCTGATGAGACTTCTTCTTTACAATAAATAAATAAATAAATAATTAACTGGGCGTGGTGGTGTGCACTTGTAGTTCCAGCTACTTGGAAGGCTGAAGTGGAAGGATTGTCTGAGTCCAGCAGGTTGAGACTGTGGTGGCTGTGAGTATGCCACTGCACTCCAGCCTAGGTGACAGAGTGAGACTCTCGTTTTTTTGAGTCAGGGTCTCTCACTTTGTTGCCCAGACTGGAGTACAGTGGCACAATCACAGTTCACTGAAGCCTCAACTTCCTGGGTTCAGGTGATCCTCCTGCCTCAGTCTCCTGAACAGTTCGGACTATAGGCGCACACTACCACACCCAGTTATTTTTTTTTAAATCAGAGTCTCACTCTGTCACCCCAGCTGGTGTACAGTGGAGTACAGTGGAGTACAGTGGAGTACAGTGGCATGCTCACAGCCCCTGCAGCCTCAACCTGCTGGGCTCAGGCAATCCTTCTGCCTCAGCCTTCCAAGTAGTTGGAATTACTGGCACACACTACCACGCCCAACTAATTTTAAAAAAATTCATTATTGTAGAAATGAGGTCTTGTCAGGTTATCCAAGCTGGTTTCGAACCCCTGAGCTCAGGCAATCCTCTTGCCTCCAACACCCAATGTGCTGGGATTGCAGATGTGAGCCACCAAGGCCAGCTTGTTGTAAAATTATAAAAAGCATCTTGTCAAAGGCAAGCACGTGTCCTTTCTCTTAAGGCATCCATGGCTTTTGAGCGTGACTTTTTCTGTCTAATAAATTCTGTCTTAAACTATACTTCAGAGTTGCTCTAAAATTATTTTCTGTGACCAATTCAAAGCACCCATGGAGCAACCCACTGCACCCCACCCAGCATCAGTAATTCCCTCATTCCTACAAACCTACTTACTTATCTGTATTCATAGCCATCTTGTTTCCTCCTTCCCTCCCGTTATAATGGAAGAGGGCTGGGCTCTCTATTACATGGATGGAGTGTGGGAGTAAATGGGGAGATGCTTATCTTGTATCCATTTTATATTCATTTCAGTTTTGATTTTCTAACTCATCCTCATGTTCCCTCTGGGCCTCTACAACTCATCAGCGATGTGGCCTTAAACGGACCACTAAAGTAGCAAATATGTATTGAGTAGATTCTACGCTGTGCTCAATAAGGGCACTGTGCTTGATGCTGGGGGTTGCCAGGGCTAGTAAACACACACAGTCCAAATAGAAAACCATTTACATGGCCAGGGATGGAGCCGTGGAGGAACTGAGAGTGAGCAATGGGACTGGGATCGCAGATGGGTAGGAAGGATCAGGAGGCAGGGCTGGAGAGGCGCGCAGGGCCCGAGCTGGCTGGGTTCTATAGACAGGCGGGGGAATGACTGCCTTTAATCCTAAATCACCAGGAAAGGAAATGAATTGATCTCTCTGAGCCTCAGTTTCTACTTCGAAAAGTATATTTCCGAACTAACGAACTAGACTGCCGTCAGCCTCCTAGCCTAGATTGAGACAAGGGTAAGGACTTCTATTTGTATCCATTTTTGTATCGCCAGCGCCCAGCACATGGTAGGCACTTAATAAACGCCTGTTAGATAAATAAATGAGATTACAGAGTGCTTGTCAACCAACTCCCAGAGTTTTCCTTCTCCGCATTGCTTTCCTACCCCCGCCTTTTCTCTCACTTCCCTCCCACGCCCCTTCCCACTCTTCCGCCTCCAATCCCCTCCCGCCTCCCCTTCCCGGCCCCGCCCCCTAGACGTCGCGAAAGCGGAGAGGGCCAGGCGGGCTTTACGGCACCGCGTTGCGGCGGGGCGGGGCGCCGGGAGGCCGGCGCGCTTGGCGGCAGCGGTGGGAGGCAGGCCGGCAGGCAGACGGACTCGCAGGCGGGTGGCGGCGGCTGTGCTTGCTGGTGAGGGCGGGAGGGAGTGACTCACAGAACGTGTGTGAGGGAGGGAAGGAGCGAGCGGGCGAGCGAGCACCCGCGCCGTCCGCCCGCTGCGCCAGCCAGGCCCCTCCGCCGCCGCCTCCCCTCCGCCCCGCGCCCAGGCCGGGTCGAGCCGAGCCGGGTCGGGCCCGGGCCATGCTGCTCACCGTGTACTGTGTGCGGAGGGACCTCTCCGAGGTGACCTTTTCCCTCCAGGTCGACGCCGACTTCGAGCTGCACAACTTCCGCGTGCTGTGCGAGCTCGAGTCTGGCATCCCCGCAGCCGAGAGCCAGGTACGCCGGGCAGCAAGCCGGGGCCAACCCTCCCCGCCTTGGGGCCTCCCTCCCTCCCTTTGCTGCTGGTGAAGAATCGGGGGTCCGGGAGGGGGCCAGGGATAGCCATTCCCAGCTCGCCCCCGCACCAGGCAGGAAGCTGGAGTCGGTAGCTGCCCCCACATACCCCGAGCATGGGGTGGGGTGCGAGGAGAGGGAACGGAGAACCCGACCGCAGACGCTCCCACTGCAGCGGGAGGGGCGCGCGGACTTGGAGCAGCCCCCCCCCCCCACGCCCTGGCTCTTTGGCTCCTTCCCCCTTACTGATCCCGAGTTTGGGGTGTCGTCGTGCACCTACGAAGCAGCCCTGGGCTTGCGAGGGTTCATCCATGCATCCTGCTTCCCCAACCAGAAATACCAGTTTGGATCACTGTGGTAGACAGATGTTCATCTGTTTTTTTGGAGAGGGTTTCTGTTTAAATATAGGGAATTTACCATTAAAGGCGCAGATTTACACTTCAGGTGAAGGAAAAAGTTTGAGACTTGCACTACCTCGTTTTGAGGTCTTTGGAAATGTTCTTTTCCCTGCCGCATGCGTTTCTGGTTACATTCTATTAAAAAAAAACGATAATTATTGCTCCAACTCAAGCTGTTTCTTTCGGTTCTTCTCTGGTAGTAAGCCAGAAATCCCTCTTTTTTTTCAGGTCATTTCAAAGCTCGGTGCCTTATAACGATATTTGTTTGGGAAGGGGTCTCGTATCTTAGTGCGATTTGGTGGTTTCATTTTCCTATCCAGCTAGCTGGAAAGGAGGCAGCCTCACATTTTAAATAAGCAGGATAATTATTCTCAAAATGCTTTGGGGCTGCCACTAGTCTTTATCAAACAATTCATGACAATAACCCTGTATCGCTTACACTAAAACACTTATATCCTGGCTTGGTAATGTGGGCCTGGGGGAGGTAGTCTAAACATTAAGAAGATTATGGAAGTCTTCAAAGGTTCTAGAATGTAAATCTTAATTTTTCTATTGCAGTTATGAAATAGTTCCAAAAACGATTGCCCAACTAAGCTTGTTCTCCTGTCTTATGGTAAACAAATGTGTCGATATTTTGTTCAGAAGTATGATTCCTTTACACAATGTGAACTTTAGAACCTTGGCATGAGGCTATTCAGAAAGATTTTATTTCAGGGTCACTGAAATACACAATCTGTCAAAAGCTACAAATAAATTGGTAAAGAGGAATTTTTTTTTCAACTTCTTTTATAGCAAGTTAATCCACAGAAGCTCAGGAACCAGTTCCTGTTCCTGAATTTGTCATATGGAGAACTAGGAAAGGACAGTTTAAATGAGGGGGGAAAGCAACTCTTTGGTTTTGAAGATGACTTTCAATTGTTCTTTCCCTTCTACCTGTTACATTACCCTGATTATGATCATCGGCTGGTGACCTGCTAGAAGTAATAATTTTTTTTTTTTTTTTTTTTTTGAGTTGGAGTCTCACTCAGTCGCCCAGACTGGAGTGCAGTGGCCGCTCCCGGCCACCGCAGCCTCGCCTGCTGGGCTCCGGCAATCCTTCCGCCTCAGCCTTCCAAGTAGCCAGAATTACAGGCATGCACTACCACGCCCAGCTGATTTTTTGATTTATTGTAGAGATGAGGTCTCGCTGCCCAGTCGGGTCTCGAACCCATGGACTCAGGCAATCCACTCACCTCAGCCTCCCAAAGGTGCAGGATTACAGGCTGAGCCACTGAGCCTGGCTTAGAAGTAATAATTTTAAATGTAAATTGATTTTGTTATTAGGGCTTCAGAAAAGACAGATTGAGATTGTTTCTCTTCCTGCACTCTTATGATGGCTGTAGCAAAAAATTTCAGTAAATTAAAGGGGGTGTCTTTGAAAGACACTTAAGTGTATGGTTAAGTTAAGCTCTGCCCTCTGCCAGTTCAGCAATTTGGGAATATTTTAGTAATTGAACATGGGCTTATTCCAAATTCCTTTTTTCCATTGCCATACAGCATTCACTTCCTTCTCAAACCATATTCACATATAGAAATCTGGGCTTCAACTAATGCTAAACCTGTATTAGATAGCTGTAAACAGCTCCTGTTATTCAAGTTTGTTCTGTTGGCTCCATTGTAACCTGACGACACAGTATCTATTTTAAGATGTCTGGTGGTCGGTTGTCTTTCACTTGCTTGCCCATCAGGCAGGAACAGGATCCACCCAAGACACTTGAGTCATTTCCTTTCATCAAATCATAAAAGTAAACATCATTATAGTTTTTTAATGCATAAATATATCATCTTCATTTAACCTCCTCCCTCCCCCCACCCTGTTTACCTCCGTGGGTTCTCCGGTATTACTCATCTTCCCTTCCTCTCCTACTTCTAGTCTGTTTAACTCACTCCTGTTTATCTTCTCTATTCGCATTCCTCCTCCTGCTATTTTTTTTTGAGTCGGAGTCTCATTCTGTGGCCCAGGCTGGAGTGCAGTGGCACATTTATGGCCACTGCATCCTTGACCTCCTGGGCTCAGGCAATTCTTCTGTCTCAGCCACAGACCCCTGCCACCAGGCCTGGCTAATTTTTTAGAGTTTATTGTAGAGATGATGTCTCACCAAGTTGCCCAGTCTGGTCTTGGACTCCTAGACTCAGGTAGTCCTCTCACCTCGACCTGCTAAAGTGCAAATTGCTGGGATTACAGGTGTGAGCCACTGTGCCTGGCTCCTCTGCCATTTCTGCTCCATTTCTTCAAGGGAATGTATATATTTTTATGTTCCTAGCTATTTTTTTCTGTCACCATGTGTCCAGACCACTGGTCTGCAAACTTTTTCATTCATGTATCCTATCAGTAAAATGTTTCAGAATGTGCTCCCATTATGTGTATAATATGTTATATACATGAACTAATGTGTATATGTGTATGTATGTCCATATATATAATACACTATATAATCTTACCTACATTACATATAATACACTATGTATGTAAATTATGTACATGAAGTAATGTATACGTTATGGCAGACACAGAATTTAAGGAAAGATGAACTAAAATAAATGGCAATGAAAATTCTAATATTTTCTATTTCTATACCCTTAAAAAATTGTCTTGCATGCTTGTACCCATTGGGGAATCACTGGTTTAGAATTCACTCTTTCTCGTGAGTGTTAATTGTGCATAAGAATACACTTGGAAAGGATATTAATTTTTAACAGCTCTAGTCTGATTTATAGTAGTTATAATGCAATGATAAGCTGGGCTCAGTGGCTCAGCCTGTAATCCCAGCACTTTGGGAGGCCGAGGCGAGTAGATTGCCTGAGCCCGTGGGTTTGAGACCATTCCAGGCAAGTTGGCCATACCTCGTCTCAACAATAAAAAATAAAAACAAGCCGGGCTCAGTGGCTCAGTCTGTAATCCCACGCCTTTGAGAGGCTGAGGTGAGTGGATTGCCTGAGCCCGCGGGTTCGAGACCCGCCTGGGCAGGCGAGACCTCATCTCTACAATCAATCAAAAAATTAGCCGGGCGTGGTAGCGCGTGCCTATAGTTCCAACTACTTGGAAGACTGAGGCGGAAGGATCACCGGAGCCCAGCAGGTCGAGGCTGCGGTGGCCGGGAGTGGCCACTGCACTCCAGTCTGGGCGACAGAGTGAGACTCCAACTCAAAAAAAAAAAAAAGTAGCCAGACATGGTAGTGCACGCCTGTAGTTCTGGCTACCTGGAAGACTGAAGCGGAAGAATCGCCAGAGCCCAGCAGGTCGGCGCTGGGATGGCCATTAGTGTGCCATGGCACTCCAACCTGGGTGACAAAGTGAGACTCCCACTCAAAAAAATAAAATGCAATGATAACAAATTTAGAATAGAAACCATCTCTACATGTGATTAAAGCTGGACATGTTCCATCTCCAGCCAGTTGTGGCTCAGTCTGATGCTTTGATGCAGACTTGTCTGAGTGAACTTGAGATAATATCAACTTAGCTTCACTTTAAATTAATGTCTTTGTATGTTTGGAACATCATGATTTACCTCTGTAGGTAGCATATGGTGAAGTCTGCAGAATACGGAGAATGAAATATTAGAATTTTCATTGCCATTTATTTTAGTTCATCTTTCCTTAAATTCTGTGTCTGCCATAACGTGTACATTACTTCATGTACATAAATATGCCTCAAATCAAAAGCATATTTAAATGGCAAATAATAGCAGTAATTGTATAATCCTGGAAATGCAGCTTTATACACAGCATGATTTGTGGTTTGTGAAATGCTATTTTTAACTAGTAGAAACTGAAATTTTCTATTGTAGATGGTTTCGGCATGTTTATTTTTGTTTTGTTTTGTTTTTTTTTTGAGTTGGAGTCTCACTCTGTCGCCCAGACTGGAGTGCAGTGGCCACTCCCGGCCACCGCAGCCTCACCTGCTGGGCTCCGGCGATCCTTCCGTCTCAGCCTTCCAAGTAGCCGGAATTACAGGCGCGCGCTACCACGCCCGGCTAATTTTTTGATTTATTGTAGAGATGAGGTCTCGCCTGCCCGGGCGGGTCTCGAACCTGCGGGCTCAGGCAATCCACTCTCCTCAGCCTCCCAAAGGCGCGGGATTACAGGCTGAGCCACCGAGCCCGGCTCATGTTTATTTTTGAAGGTAATTTTCATGTATTTTTTTTTTTTTTTCGGATAAATACTACATTGTAGAAAACCTGTGACACAGAAAATAATGAAGAAGAACATAATTACTTATTACCTTATAACCCAGATAACTGCAGTTCATTTGTTAATTATTTTTTCCAAGTTTTTTTTTATTTTTATAGACAATGTGTCCTTAAACATGATGACTCCTGAACTGTATAAACAGTTTCATATTTTTCTTCAGTCAACACTGCACTGTCAGTATATTTCCATAATATGTCATATTCTTCAACTGTATCATTTTTAATGGCTGCATAATATACTTTCATCTTGTAGATGTACTGTAATTAGCAATCTCCCTATTGTTGGGCATACTTTTGGGGGAAATTGGAAACTGTT